TTGTCTATGCCAGGCATAAAGCAAGAGTCTGACTTTGTAAAGAATGAAAGCATTTTAAGGCAAGGTCACTCGTTGCATACCTTTCTATAGACAAGAATCTCAATTGATAGACACTTCTCAATGAAAACTGCACAAAGAGATTGTCATCCATGCACAGTATAGCAGAGCCATGTGACAACACAAAAAGTACAGGTAAGATAAGAAACAAGTCAAATAAGAATTATATGATCTCTATACAAATGGACAAATCACAGGGATGTAATTTGAAGTAGCCATCTGCTGAATGCTACAGTCCTGTGGTACATAATGCATCTGTCCCTGTTTAAACACAGCAGCTGTGGATTCACTTCTTTTGCGTCTCCTCTGCCAACACCTGCCAATAAACATTACCAAATGAGCACGAGTGGATATAAAGCCAAAGCGCAATTTGACCGGCTAATTGGGTGAGTGATATGCAATCTCTACTTTGCTGATAGCACTGGGGACAGATTACCACAGCTATCACAGAACATCAGCTCTATTGTACGATGAGTTGAAATTATAAACTCTCCTGGAAAAGTGGGAGAAGTGAATCTTACAACAAAACAAGGAATGCATACATTCCATGTCAAGCCCCATGCATTCTCCATCTGTGCCGTGTCTACATAGGAAGCCTCCCAGTGCTTGTAAAAAAGAAAAAAGAAAAAAGAGCAAAGATGTTTCTTGGAAAACATCCAGCTGAGTTAAGTGGAAACATAGGACAACTCAAAAGCCACCAGGATGGAAGTAGAGTGAGTAGTTGAGCTGGGGTCAGGACAAGACATACCGACCATTAGGAAACATTCAGCAGTGGAAACATTGGTTTTGTGCTTTTACAGGGTCTGATTTACTTTGCGGTGAGACGTGGCCATCTCTCTGTCTGCAGCCGCGCATACCAGAGCTGAATAACTGATTGCTGAAAAGCCCAGATACTGACTTAACCCAAGCTACAGCAGCTAAAGACCAGAGGAAATAGCAGGCGGGGAACAGCGTTTAGCAGGAAGTATGATTAGAGAAACTTGTGTAACCCCTGGAAGCGTTGGGTGCGAGATGTCCATAGCAATATACAGGTCATGGTTCATACAATGATGCTTTGAAGTCGAACAAATTCCGTTTCAGCCGACTCCAACTGCCGGCTTGTCTTCATCTGTCTGGCAGCTGCTGAAAACTGCCATGACTCAAAATAACTCACAGTCTTTACCTCATATTTGATTGTTAAATCTGGACTTTTACAAAATGAATGTTCAATTCTTAAAATTGAGTTGGTGGGACAATGGCTGTCCCAGCTATTGAGAAGCAAAAAATATTTGTCAACTGTGCATTTTCTTAGTCCTCTGAAACAAGTGCACAAAATGTAAGTATAAATGAAATAAATGCTCAGTTGCCTTGACAAGCAAAGCAGGATGGGAAGTAATGGCAAAGTTTCCAATTGTAAAATTAAGTAACTAAGTGAGTACTTTATTTTTATAGCACTTTACAATGTTCAGAGTTCAAATATTGATCCATTCTTAGCCACAGAGTTATGACGGAAGCGAGACACCGAACACACTGGCGCATCAAAGCCTATTCACTCACTCATTAAATTCAAACCTATGTTTTTAGTGGTAGGGGTAGTGGTAGAAAGGCCTTCACCCGGGATTCAAACCCAGCACCTTCTGGGTTAAATTAAAGTACGTACATGTTATGCTAGTGACAAAAATGAATCATAACCACATCTGTGTCATTGTCTTCATCTCAGATGTATTGAACTTTTCAATATAATTGCGAAAAAGCGGCATATTAGGCTTTGGACTGAGAGCTGATTGGCTGCTGCAGTAGTAATCCTCCCTGTCTCACTTTTGTATAAAAAAGCTGCTCTAAAGCGAGTGGCTAAAATTCAGGCGATAACTGATCATGTGCCAAAGGCTATTGACAACAAAGAACAAATCAAGATCTACTTTCTTACTTTAATCTTTGAAAATCAGCAACTCCAACTTTAAGAACAACTTCTAGAACATCAATTTATTACCAGAGCATAACAGTTTTCACACAATATTTAACAGAGCATTGAGGAGTGATGCACAACATTGTGATGTGGCTGCTTGATTAAAAAATTCAAAATTACCAATGTGCTTTATGAAGGCATCGAAACAAAACATGGGACGCAATTAAACATATAGAGTGATCCACATAATTGTGCTATTTGCTTTTAAAAGAAGGGCACATAGAGACCATTACTCTTTAAATGGCTGCCTGGGTTCTTTACTGTAACAAATGACGTTTTCCACATGTGATTGGTTTTCCTGATTACCCCTCCATCTCTAAATACAGCCTGCAGAGCTGCCTCACAAGGTCATGCCATCAACTCCTATGGTAGATGAGATGAGATCAGCTTAATGTATCCTAGTTTCTTATGATCTATTATAACGGCAGAAAATGTTCAATGGACTCCTTTCAAAACTCATATGCACTACTTTTTTCACTCTGGGATACAGCACCAACAGAAAGGCTATAATTAATAGTTAAAGCATGGCATGGACTTGTATTAGTCTGGGCATTGATGTACTCACCAGTGTTGCTTTCAGAACAGCGGACACTTGGGAGCAGGGATATCCAAGCGGTGATTTATCTCGCCTCTGCACATCTGCTCAGCGTTCAACAGTTGCCCAAGCCGAGTGTTTTTTTGAAGTCACACAGTTCTGCAGAGCACGGAGAAAGCATCAACCCCCTCTCTGTAAGAAACCCAGGAATTCAAACCCAGCCGTTAGATAATTAACTGCTTTAACTCCGCGTGGGACTCGCGTTGACCAGCCCCTTGTTCTTGGGCGTAATGTATAAGCACGCAGCGTCACTTTCTCCAAAAAAAGCAACACATTTTACGAGGACAATAAAAATGATTTGACCACACGTGTCACACAAGTATCCCCTTGAGAAAAAAAGTGATAATTTCGCCTCTTTAGCGTGAGTAAGTTAGAAAACACAAGCGCCTTACCTGAGCTCAAAGCGATAATTAGAATGCACGCGCGCGGCAAAGTTAGCTAACAAGGGAATTAGCAGGTTTTAAACAGATACTTTCACACATAAAAAAACGGCGTAAAACTCTCACGTTTCGTCTTTTTCAAAACAGTTCACAAGAGGAGACCGGGATGGATGAAAGAAGCGGTGAAGAGAGCGTATGCAGCCAGCTCGCACTCAAGATGTGACTGGTCCAATTGGAAGCCTCTCCTCCTGCCGCGCGCCTTTACTACAGTGACGCTGCGCACGGAAAGGCAAGTTCGTCCACAGAAACCACTTATGGCGCTTTGTTCTGTCCTTTATGTTCTCTCCTCTTCTATCCTGTTCTATTCAGATGTGTTTCTCGTAGACTGGACTCGGAGGGCACCGCTATCTGCCTGGTACGCCCCTCTGCATCTTCACACACACGCGCTTGTGCACGCATATATACGGCCACACAGACGTTCGCACGCATGCGCACACACATACGTACACACACTCACACGCACACACATACGCTTTGCTATTAGGCATGCGTGTCCAGGTGCCGCTCGTAGCCCCCCAGCCTATTGTACGAATGAACAATGGACTTCTATAGAGCCTCATTTCCGTCTATGGACTACATTAAAGTCGTCTACATTAAAGTCGTCCGCATGGGCATGTTTTATTTAACACCGGTGTGCGCGGTTCATTAAAGGGACACTTTGGAAGGGGAGCCTTTGGAAGGGTTTTTAGAGCTGTCCTGTGTTCCAGGTAATGAGGAATAATCCATCTGCACCTGGAAGATATCAGTGGATGTAAGAAAAGGTCACAATTGATCCAATGTGTTTATGTCATTTCTATAATATCACCCTTGTTTAAATCAGTATCTAATTCTGAGGCTCATGTAGTATGTAATAGTTTCATTTTAAATGACATCTACATCTTATGTGTCCCCGGATAACAGATCAGAATGCAAAAATCATATTTGATTTTTAAAGTTGAGTTATTTGGGGTGAAAGTAGCTCATTGGTAGAGCATTGGAAAAAACTAAAACTAAAACTAAAATAAAACTAAACAAAAAAAAAGTGGATGGATGGATGGGCTTTTTCTAGCATAACACAGAAAGGAAGATACTGGCAACAAAAGTTCAATTGTAATCGTAATGACATTTTTGGATTGCTATTTGTGCATATTACATATTGTTCCTTTTAATGTTTAATTTTCAATACATTTGAGAACCACATTTTAGTACTATTGCATCACAAAAACAATACTTTAAATTTTAACACAAGCTCCTTCAGGTGCTTTACAGAGATTTTTTTTATTTTAGCGCTTTAGATGAGACATTGCCAAACTGCAATAATAACATTATTCTTTTAATTTATGTGTGTAAATCTCAACAGCTGCTGAAAGATTATGCAAAGGTTTTATTTTCACAGTGTGAACAGATATAGCTCCTACAGTTAATTAAAACACATTTTGTTCATACATTTCAACACAAATAATATAATTTAGATTGACAACATTGTTGATTGTCCGGCAATCAGTCCCTCGCAATAATGTATTATCGCACATATGTTTCTGACTTGTGTGATCAAAATCATGATTGTCTATCAATGTATTGCTGTATTAAATATATATATATATTTTTTTTTACAAATTATGTGCAATAAAATCTTCCTGTTATGTGCTTGATATTTGCTTGACTACATAACTAGAACTTTTCTCTATTTCTTTTCACAACATTTACATTTCTGTTGGGTCTATACTTGGCATCAGTGTTTAAAATTATTATTATTTCAAGCATGAGCCAATGAACCAATTACATTTCATTAAATTTGTTTTAGTGTGCTATCTCTCTCTGCTGTGCAGGTCATTCTCTGTTTTATATGTTCTTGCAGGATCTCTTCAGCTTGTTGCCCTAAGTCTGACATATCCTGTGAGCTAATAGGATAAGGGAGCTAACCTGAGAGTGAGACCTAAAGCAAGAGTTCACAAAGCATCCGTAGCCTGCAGTGTTCAAACTGATGCAGAGACTGTTTACGTGCCCCCTGAGGCTGTCGGAGAAGCAACCACAGGTTTGTATGGAGTAACAGCTCATTGAAAACTGACAATGCAGCCACTATATTCTATTCATAGCTTTTTTAATATTCGGTACCACATTAATTTTACATACTTGACTTATAATGAGTCTATAATATTCAGAGATATATCTTCACAGATCCTCTGTAGTCCTATACACGCACGGCCCTCCTATGCATTTTTACAGCAACAATTTGTATTTGCATTTAAGTTCAGGGCCGATTGGATAGAAATGGATAATAGTTATGGTAATAAATAATACAAAGCACCTGCAATCACTTTTTCTTTTGTGTTACCGAAAAATGATTGAACACATATATCACATACAGTAGAAGCTTGTTTTTCAGCGCCGTTTGCTGTTTCGGTTAGGATTATGTTCATTGTTCATGTTGTCATCATACAACATAGTTTAATAAAGTAAACCAATATACCGACATTCTCAGAAGAAAATGTTGTTGTTGAAACTAAACCACTTTTTCCCCCAGTTCGCTCATGCTTGAACTCCATAAATGAAAAGAAGCACGGTCCAAAGTTGATAGTGCTCACTTCTTAAAGTATACTTTGTCCAAATGATAAAAAACAACTTTGGTCAAGTCAAGGCTTGTACCATTAGTCAGTGGTAAGCTTCATCACAGCCAAGTATGTGCGATGGATAATCATTTGAAGTCTTTTGTGCAACCATCCCTCGAGCTTTAAGCCCGAAGGACGGCCGAAGCCTCAGATTTGCAACAAAAAAAAAGTTGATTTGAAACATGATAGTTTAGCGAGGGCGTTCAGCCCAGAATGTACAGAATGTGCTCTATAAGGTCAACGTATACAAAGCTTTTGATTTGGGAACCCAACAGCCACATTCTGAAAGACGTTTAACAGTTTCCGAGTGTTGTTCTGTTGGATTTAAAGGAGCAGTATGTAAAAATCTGGCCAAAAATGGTACTGTAACCTTTACCACTCTCCCTGACTCAGGGTGCCAGATATGCAGACGAATTCAGCTGGGATCATAATATCTGAATAGACAAGACTTTTGTCAACAATAAATCTATAACCCACACTTTTTTCATAAAGGCCCTGATAGGAATCCTTGTTTTATTCCTTGTTTTGTTATTCATGATTTGATAATCATAACAAGACCTCTTTAGTTTTGCGGCATGTTACATTAACAGTGAGAATAGCTCGACGCAGTGAGTTCTGGCAACCCGTATCACAGACTTTCTGATTGGTAAAATTGTGAAGTGCGGGACATCGAAATGAAAACAATAACAAGATCTAGGGGCTGTAAAACACATTTTTCAATTCAAATATCTCGGCTGAACTACTGTTATCAGTTAAAAAAGTATTCAAAAAGAGCATATTTTATTAATACCTTTTGACAGATTAGGGCCATTTAAGGATGACATGACATGAAATTCGTACATATTGCTAGTTTAAATCTACCGAAGAGCCATGGAATTGGGTCAGAACATCACTGCTTGAAGTGATTTATGCATGTGAACAATGACGGACCTAAAAGTGAATAGGGCTAAATCTAATCAGACTGAGTGAAAACCCCCAGTTTGAGCAGATGGGTGGGCACTTGGCTGTCGTGGGACCTGACGGAGCTACTGAACATACTGAGGGGCATGATGTGGTTTGGGGCCAGAGCCAGAGCTGTAGACATGTGCCTTCAAATATGTTGTTTTTAGGCCCGAGCCCCGAACGGGGTAAGGGCCTATTGCTTTCACAATGGTGAAAACAAATAGTGGCGGTGAGTGACGGACGCATCAGCGCCCGTCACTCACCCCGACGTGACGGTTGCATGCGTAAACTCAAACGCTTTAAAATGATGTATCACGTGCCATTGAAACCTATATTGTTTTTGCTCGAGACAAGTCAAAAAAAATTCCTTATTGCTTTCACAATGGTGAAAACAAATGGTGGCGGTGCGTGACGGACGCGTCAGCGCACCGCCACCATTGAAACCTATATTGATTTTGCTCGAGAGATGTCAAATTCTGCACTTTGAGCCTTAATTTCACCCCCAGAACATGCATGAAAAGTTGTAAAATTTTGCCCAAACATAAGAGACCTGGTGAAAAATTGGATATTTTGGTGTTTATTTTTATGGGACTCAAAAAATGCCAGAACAGCGCCACCTACGACAGCCAAAATAATACCCTATGGGACTTTTCGGAGGTCAAGTTTGTTGTAGAGCCATGAAATTTGGTACACATGTACCACACAAGTCAAGACCCCTGACAAACAGGAAGCCCATAAATTTCACTGCAAAATGGAAAATTGAACAGCAAAAGTTTTCATACATGTCGGTTGGAAAGCGACTCCTCCTCGGCCGTTTCACCGATTCGCCTCAAAATCGCTCCACATCATCTCAACACATGTACCTTCAAAATGACCTCAGGGATTTTTGATCAGTGAATTATTGAGCAGCGGAGTGGCAAAATGTGACCTTTTTTTGGCCGTTTTTGACAACATTAAATTTGCTCCCGTTTGCACATACAAAGTCTGATTTGCACAAAACTTTAATACATTGTTCAACTCTAGGGTCTAGGTCATTTGAAAGTGAATTGATTCAAATTGACACATTAGCGCCCCCTACAGACTATTTCAAAGTTTTAGATGGGCATTTCAAAATATAGTTTTTTCAAAGTGTTTGAAATTTTGCACAAAAATCTGTTTTGCCCTCTTGATTCAAAAAGTCTATTGGGTCCAAGGCCTATTTTTTACCCTGTTGCCGTGGCGATGACAAACGCTCCCCATCCATTGCAAATGTACACCTCACACAAACATCAAACCAGCCTTGGCCTTTTCACCGATTCGCCTCAAAATCGCTCCACATCATCTCAACACATGTATCATCAAAATGACTTCAGGAAATTTTGATCAGTGAAACGTTGTTTGAGCAGCGGAGCGCCAAAAAGTGGCGTATTTTTTTCAGTTTTTGACGAAAGAAAAATTGCTTCTGTTTGCACATACAAAGTCTGATTTGCACAAAACTTGAATCCATGGTTCAACTCTTGGGTCTAGGTCATATGAAAGTTAAAATTTTGAAATTGGCTCTATAGCGCCACCTACAACAGCCAATTTAAAAATGCCTATGGGAGGGGTTCGAGGTCATAATTGTCGTAGAACCATGTAATTTGGAACACATGTTCCTTAAGTCAAGACATGGAAAAAATATTATTATGGCTAAGCCCTCTGACAAACAGGAAACCCATGAATTTAATTGCAAATGGAAAAATGAACAGCAAAAGTTTTCATACACGTCGGTTGGAAAGCGACTCCTCCTCGGCTGTTTCACCGATTGGCCTCAAAATTGTTCCAAAATGATCTCAACACATTTACCTTCAAAATAACTTCAGGGAATTTTGATCAGTGAAACATTGCTTGAGCAGCGGAGCGGCAAAATGTGAGGGTTTTTTTGGCCGTTTTTGACAACATACATTTTTTTCCTGTTTGCACAAACAAAGTCTGATTTGCATTAAACTTGAATCCATTGTTCAACTCCAGGGTTTAGGTCAGGTGAAAGTGAAATATTTGAAATTGGCCCAATAGCGCCCCCTAAAGACTGAGTTAAAGTTTACATGGGGAGCCAAACCAGCTCTACTTATCATATTCATTACAATTTGACTAACAATCTTCTATGGCTACGGGAAAAAATCATCACACAGCGGCGCCACCTCCTTTGAGCGGTGCTGCGTGATGCAGCGTGATGCGGGGCGGCGTGGTGCGGGGTGGCTTGGTGCGGGGCGCCGTGGCACGGGGTGGTGCGCGCGGTGCGGGGGGTGCGCGCGGTGTGAGGAGTTGCGCGCTGCGGCGAGGGCCGTTCGACGCCGCTCGCGGCTTTAATACGTTTAGATTGGTTTTTTGTTATAATTATATTATTTTATTATATATGTAAATACTGTAAATATTTTTCCAACTTTATGTAAATTCTAATGTTCGTTTGTACTTGTTCTTGTTCCAGACCACACACTAACTCACCCCACCCATAATCCACCCATACAGGGTCCATAGTCCATAGATAGTTTCATCGAGTACAGCATCAGCCACGACATCCTAAGAACTGGTACAGATAAGACCTCTCAGCCTGGTACAGATAAGACTTCTCAGCCTGGCTCCAACTCAAGTCACAAGCTAAACGCATCTCCACCAGGGCAGCGCTCATGTTCCAAAATCCGCCGAAGCCCCAGAAGAAACACCCATCCAACGTGTACTACAACACGGTCAAGCCAGACTGACTCCTCCCAATCCAGCCCGCAGTAGCACCACTCCCAAGGCTAACCTTAGCTTCAAGCCATACTGCCCCTACTGCGACAACAGAAAGCACTACCTCAGCCTGTGCCCGCAGTTCAAAGCACTCTCCACGGCAGACTTTTCTGCATGGATCAAAGGCCGAAGCTGTTGGAGATGTGGACGAAATCATCCACCTGAGGCATGCACTCTGAAGAAACCCTGCCACACTTGCAAGCAGTTACACCTCACAGTGCTGCATGAAGTGAGCCAGCCCGAGCCGAAGCGGGTTCTAATGGTCAGCACATCCCCAGACACCATCTACGTTGACCGTCCAAGCCGTCCACAACGAGTCATGCTTAAGCTACTGTAGGGTAATTATATGTATAAGATATAATTTTAAAGGATAATTTAGTGTAGGGGTAAATGAAAATGTAGTGTAGTGCGGCTAGTCTCCAGAAGAATGAAGAATGGAGATGAATGGCCCGTCCACGTGCCCTTTGTCCGGGCAGGAGGGAGACACAAAGCCAGCGGGTCCAGTCCAACTTTGATCCACGCACACACCACGCAGTCCGGAATGCGCTGCGTGCGTAGGGTCCAGAGCCAGAAAGAGGCTGGTGATGGATAGTCCGTGATCTCCGACAGCAGTGTCAGGGCTGTGCTCGTGGAGTGGAAAGGCCTCAATGCGTTGCAGGCGCGGGTCGTAGTAGAAGACACGTACTCGTGGAACGCAGAGGGAAGGGCTGTTATAGTGATTACAAGGGAGAACCAAGAGAAAGTCCTGGGTCTGCGGTCTGGTTTTGTTGTGTTCAAAGGGGGTCCGTGACGTCATCATTGTGCGCCTCACTGGGCATCCCTCACAACAGACATGTTATAATGGCAAAACGAAGGATTAATACAGACAATCATAACACATGTACAGACACACACCGCATTTACATTACTTGACATTGATACACACGTGAATAAATGAATCCAGGAGTGCTGGTTTAAAATGTCCGTCCCGGGTGTGATAGTGTTCAGTGTCCGCTTGGGGGCGCCATAGCGCCGTGGGTGAGTCACAGATTGTCTCAGGGCCGTGGAATGTCCCGTGAGTGAGTGCAGATTAGTGATCTCTGATCTCTGCCAGGCAGCAAGGCACAAAGATGTTTGTTCTGGGGCTCAGTTTATTGCCTTGGTTGACACTTATGATCACGGTGACCGATGATGTCCTCTGGTTGACCTGGTCGTCTCTTAGATGTGCGTCAAGATGGGTCATGCTCCGGAGGGCATGTTTACATATCTTGGTTTGCTGGTCAACGTCCGACTGGCTGTCCTTTAATTCACCTTACACTAGTAAAGGTACGCCTATACAACGCTGAGCACTCACTGGAAGGGTTTGCCATCCTTGACGACGGAACCGAGAGGACACTCATTATGCCCTCTGCAGTCCGACACCTCCACCTAACCACCGAACCAGAAAGCCTTCCTCTACGCACCGTTCACCATGAAGTGATCCACCTGCAAGGTTCAGCAGTCTCCTTCGACATCTCCCCAGCTCATTCCACTAACTCAAGGCACACCATCCATCACGCCTTCACTGCTGATGAGCTGAGCTTGTCCGAGCACTGTTATCCCGTAAAGACACTCCAACGCAAGTATTCACACCTGCAGAAGCTTCCGTTGCCAGTCGTCGACAAGGTTCAACCCATACTGCTGATTGGCTCCGATTTCCCACATCTACTCCTCCCAACAAAACCAGTGCGAGTAGGTCCTCCCGGGAGTCCCCTCGCAATGTACACCGCCCTTGGATGGGCGCTCCAGGGTCCAGCCAACATCAACCATCTACCTGCCGACCAATCACACTGCTACTTCACCCTGTCTCCCAATTCCGAGCTGCAGCGACACGTCGAACGTTTATGGGAAGTAGACGTCTCCCCCTACACCAATACCAAAACTGCTACCCGTTCCAAAGAAGACCAGCAGGCCGTAGACCTCCTTAAACAACGCACAATCAAAGTCGATGCAGACGGAGTGACGAGGTATGCCACACCACTGCTCAGACGCAAGACCTGTCCCAATCTCTGGGCACCTAAAAACACTTTACTCCCACAACTACATAGTACAGAGGGCAGTCTAGCTAAAGACCCTGTCCTGACCGCCACTTACTGCCAGGAAATACAGAAGCTAGAGCAATCCCGGTATGCCATACCTCTCCCCCCTGAAGTAGTCGTCAGCACCACTGACAACCCTGCAGACAACCTGACCCGAGGTAAACCACTTCGCGACCTCAGCAAACCCAGCCGGTGGAGTCAAGGTCCAGACTTCCTACGCCAACATTCAGAATCTTGGCCCGTCCTCCGCATCGAAGAGCGCAAGAAGAGGAGGAAGAGCTCAGAAAACCAGTGGTGTAACAACATGTCCTCCATCCTCATCCCTTTCCAACATCCACGACTGGGCCAGTCTCATCAAAGCCACCCATGAGACCCTTCACGGGGCGGCCCAGGACAATAGCAGCCCTACGATGACAGCAGCGGACGTCCTAGCAGCAGAACTCCATCTACTCAAACAGTCACAACGAGACAGTTTCCCTGAGGAGGTGGACGCTCTCGCTGCTGGTAAGCCAATCTCAAGGCAGAGTCGCTTAGTCACGCTAGCTCGAGAGTACGATGCAGCTGTTGGTCTGGTGAGAGTGGGAGGCCGACTCCGCAGAGCTGAAGACCTCGACCCTGATACTATACACCCTATCATCCTCGACTCAAAGCACTACGTCACCAAGCTTCTTATTAAGAAATACGACAGTGACCTCCTACATCCCGGCCCCGAAAGAGTCTTCGCTGAACTCCGGAGAAGATACTGGATTCTACGGGGAAGGGAGTCCATCAAGCACCATCAGCAGGCTGTGCTGAATGCCAAAGGTGGCGCGCTGCATCTGTAGTCCCACAGATGGCAGATCTGCCCCCCTCAAGACTCCGCCTTTACAAACCCCCCCTTCTGGTCAACCGGAGTTGACTGCTTTGGCCCCTACAACGTTAAGGTGGGCCGACGCACAGAGAAGCGGTGGGGACTGATTTTCAAGTGTATGACCACAAGCTGCGTGCACCTCGACCTCGTGGAAAGCATGGACACGGATGCTTTCCTGATGGCCCTCCGTCGATTCATCTCACGCCGCGGAAAGCCATTTGAGATCCTTGCCGACAGAGGAACCAACTTCAGAGGCGGCGCTGCTGAGCTGCAGGCTAGTTTTGCTCCCCACACTTCGGTGGAACGTGGGAACGGGAGATCAGGTCCATAAAGACGGCTCTCCAGGTTGTACTCCGTGACCAGACTGTTCCAGACCCTGTGCTGCAGACGGTCCTGATTGAAGTTGAAGTTCGTTTGTACTTGTTCTTGTTCCAGACCACACGCTGACCACACACTAACTCACCCCACCCATAATCCACCCATACAGGGTCCATTCCCACCTGTAACTGCCTCCATATCCACAAAAAAGTTCCCCATCTGGATGTACCAGCCTTCTCCGTACCCTTCTCTCTGACCGGAGCCCCGTTTACAGTGCAGGCGCTCAGATCAGCACACACCAGAGTATCCCACTCTATCACACTAATGCTACCAGCAAAATGTACATATAAATCTGCTCCAGTGTAAGGGGATGCATTGTTAAGGATAATGATAAAGATCATGTAGGGTGAATTCGGGCAAAAATAGACATTTTATTTAATTGATAAAATTGACTGGGGGGAGAAGGTACGGGTCAACATCCAGTTAGGCAATCCTTAACTTCTCCAAATACCACTCTTTGTGAGCCCTGACCTGATGTCCTACTTCCACCTATAACGTAATCGAACATGTGCTTGAAGCAGCCACTTCTCGATTTAAGAGAGGAAGCTCCGTGTTTAAGAGTTGTAGTCCTTTTGCTCTCGCAGCAATGCTAGTTTCCAATACTTCCGCCGTAAGCTCATTCCCAATCACGTGACAGGATGACGTTGATGCATCTGGTCAAATATATATATATATATATATATATATATATATATATATATAAAGACCCAAGGTGTCGGTTGTGCAAAGAGGCACCTGAGACGATCCAACACATAACTGCAGGGTGCAAGATGCTGGCAGGGAAGGCCTACATGGAACGCCATAACCAAGTGGTTGGCATAGTGTACAGAAACATCTGTGCAGAGTATGGGCTGGAAACCCCAAGGTCTAAGTGGGAAACTCCTCCAAAGGTGGTGGAGAATGAGCATGCAAAGATCCTGTGGGACTTCCAGATACAGACCGACCGAATGGTAATGGCGAACCAACCTGACATCGTGGTGGTAGACAAAGGGCAGAGGACAGCCGTGGTGGTGGTGTATATATATATATATATATATATATATATATATGTATATATTATATACACAATTGTCTGCTATATTTGCTTTTCTACAATTGTATACCTTGAGAAAACAAAGAAACTATGTAATTAATTTGGCCCGAGCCCCAACCGGGGTAAGGGCCTATTGCTTTTCCAACGAGTAATTCCATTACTCGTTGTAACTGTCATAAGTCACAATCTCCGGGCTGCGCCCGGAGATTGCACGCGACGGCACAAGCCCAAGCACTGATAAATCCGTGCCGGAGGCACGGAATGGCTTTGTTCCTGCTGTAGTACACAGTGAAATGATTGAAATCCTATTAAAGGGGGGTTCCTTCAACTGTCATTCGTCCCCCAAGCCCGACGGCGCATGCCCAGACACTGACAAAACAGTGCCGGAGGCACTGAATGGCTTTGCTCCTGCTGTAGTACACTGTGTAATCAATGGGGTCCTATGGGGGGGTGGGTAACCTCATGATGGCAAGGTGATTGATGAGCGCTGACGCGCTCGTCAATCACTGAGAACCCAATAGTTGGGTTCGCCTCGTCGTTCGCTTTAAAACGACGTATCATTTGTATTATAGGTTACTATGGAAACCTATATTGTTTTTGCTCGAAGTTTAAAAAAAAAAAATTCCTTGGTTTATTTCTTTCTTTTTTCTTCTGCGCTTTGAGCCTTAATTTGACCCCCTGAACATTGATGAAAAGTTGTGAAATTTTGCCCAAAATTCAGAACTGGTGAAAAATTTATTTTTTTGGACTAAAAAAATACCAGAACAGCGCCCCCTACAAAAGTCAGTTTACATTGCGCCTATGGGAGGGGGTCGGAGGTCAAGTTTGTCGTAGAGCCACGAAATTCGGTACACATGTTCCTCAGGTCAAGACATGAAAAAAAAGTTATTATGGCTCCGCCCCCTGACAAACAGGAAGCTCATTAATTTAATTGGAAAATGGAAAAATGAAAATTGATCTTTTTCACACATGTCGGCTGGAAATTATCTCCTCCTCGCCCGTTTCACCGATTTGTCTCA